GAAATGGTCATTCAACTCTGTCTTGCTGAAAGTTGCCAAAACCTTCGGGTTTCAAATTTCCATGAGATTTTTACGATTCTTTTCCAATTGTCTCGAGCGAGACCTATCTTTCTATCTATAGTTTCTGAGATTTATCAAATAGACACACGCTGTCGTGTCTACCTCGCTTGATCTCCTCGCATTCCAATCATCAAACTCCGACCTTCCTCAACTCCCCCCTCCGCCGGTCGTCATGAATTCTCTTACATACCTTGTCAAATGTCTCTCCTTCTTCTCCTGCGGATTCTGTCCGAACGTCGTCTCGTTCTCGTTCTCGTCGATGATGAAACTGCCAAGGTAGATCGACACGTTCTTCGCCAAGGAAGATCGCAGAAATATAGGGACGTGGCGTGCGCTTTACGAAGAAGAGCAAGGAAACCAGCTAGGTATTGTGCCGCGTGCGCCGTCTCCGTCGCGATCCTCCAGGTGCAGATCGATCAACAGCTAAGAGACGACTGAGTCGCCGACTGGATCTCCCGTTGTACTCTGTTGTATTTATCGGATTCGTCTGTGCTGCTTTCCTTGTGGCGCGACGCTTTCTACAGGTCGAGTATAATATACCAAAAAACGAACGATGTACAGAGCACTTTTCTTCTGTTTGAACTTGCGCCGATTTTCGTTGGATTTCAGTTCGTTAATAACGTCTTGACAATACATATATATATATATACTCTCGCCAATACGTTACGTTTCCTGGCCGTGGCCGTTTTGCAGCAAGATTTATATACAACGTTGCGCGTTTTGATAGCAACGTGGGGGGGGGGGGATGAGAGGATCAATGATTTTGTGTATCTTTTCCTCGTAATCGGAGGATATACCAATACACACACACACGATGTAAATGTAACACGTAGATACGTGGAACAGATATAGGCATAAATGAACCTTTAGTTATAATAATTTTATAGAAATTTGCTGTGTAAGGATGAAAGAAATGAAGAATATTGACTGAATTTCCTTCTTTTCATTCATGTTTTGATCTTTGAGAAGAATGATGTTATTGATGGTAATTAATGAATATAAAGTACTCTTTGCATCCTTTTTCCTTTGAATCCAATAACTTATAAAAGTCGCGCTTAAATAATTAAAATAATTCATAAAAGACGTTCATTGTTTTCACGTAGAAACAATAGCATCACTGTACTCTAC